GGTATTTAAAACTTAGGAACTGCTCGTTTCTAGAATTTTCCACTTAGTGTTTTCAGATTGGCACCATTGATAGTGGGTAACTAAAGTGGGACTGAAAGGAGATGATCACCTATTCAACTGAAAGTTAACTGTACACCTGCTAAGGAAGCAAGTAGAGATGGAGATAGAGACAGGATGAGGGGGGAGAGAGAGGAAAAGAGAGAGAAAGGAAAGGGAGAGAGGAAAATGAGAGGAGAGAAAGCAGAGAGGATAAAGAAGAAAGGAGAGGAAAGGAGATAAATGGAGAAGGAGAGGGGGAAGAGAGAAAATGAGAAAGAAGAGAATGATGAGATGAAAATGAGAGAAGAAAGGGAAGAGGAGCGTGGCGAGATCAGCTATCACCAAAGCCTTTCTCGCTTAACCAGCCACGCTCCTGCCTAAGCTGTCCCGTGCACATCATTTGGGTTATAAGATAGACGCTTGCTCTCTTAAGATACTCAATGACTTGAATTCTATGAACCAGTCCATTCACACACACACACACACACACACACACACACACACACACACAGGTCTTAAAGTGATTTTGGCCAAGGAAGAATGTTCTGGAAGATGGTTACGCTCTAGAAAGTTCTAGTGTCCTCTCCCTTTCTTTGCTGGAAACTTGGCTGGCACAAACTACTGGGTTTAGGTTTCAGAAAAAAAAAAAAAGACTCCATTCTCAGGATCAGCTCACAAATTTTAATCAATGTAAAATCTTATAAATTAGGTCTTTATCCTTCCTAACTCCTCTGGCCTTCTGCTCAGAGATGACTTCACCACCAAGCCATCTGTTAGTTGGAATGATAAGTACCAAGCTATTGGAATCATTTAGAGGAAAGAGAAATTAAATATCTTTTAAAAAATATTTTTTAAAAAACATCCTCTCTCCTCCTCCTCCTCCTAAGTTATTGACAGGAAGCATCTCTAAAAAATAAAGATGACAAAAATACCAGCTACATTTCAGTTCCTGGACACAGGTATTTCTGATCAGTATGTGAAAACATCTTCCTGATTCTTGCTGAGCTACCAACACAAATATTTATGGTTTCTGTCCTTTTCCGTCTGCAAAGCCCTCTCTCCAAATTCTGTTTCTTTATTGGATTCCATTATCACCCCAAGTTACAGCCCCTCCAACATCCAAGAGAACCTACCCCATAATTGTCCTGCCTTGGGATATAAGCCTTCTCCTTCACTCGTGTACATGCACACATTCATATGCGTGCACACACACACATGAACACAACAGGCACATACAGACACACACGTTCACATGTGTGCTCATACGCATGCACACATACTGTCTCGCTCACAGAGCCAGCTCTGACCCTTCCCGCAGGACGACCAGGTCAAAGGAGACTCAACAAAGTCATTTGTAAATGGTGGAAACAAAGACGCAGCTTGGATTCCTTTGAAGCTACAGTATTTGTCTTCAAATACACAACCGTCTCTGAAGGCCTGTCCTTCTCTCGCTATGCGATATTGACACTGGCAAGGAGAGGCAATCAAGCCCCATTTCCCTTTGATTTCCAGGTGGGATTTACCTCGATGTCTTCTCTCATCCGTCCTTTGGCTTGGTGTCCGCATCAGGATCTGTCCACCCAGCCCACTGGGCTGCCCTGCCAGCCTTCCCTGGCCCCTCTCTGCCACTTCAATAAGGACTGGCAGTGACGGAACCTCCCAGGGCCAATGCCTCAACCGCATCCTTCAGACTCAAACCTGCCCTGCAGCACGCACTCTCCATGTTCTTTCTCATTACGGGGGTGGGGGGCGGGGGGGGGGAGAGAACTTTGCCTCTGCAGTGACAAAGCCAGGTCTTGCTGATGCTGAGGCAGGAAGCGTAGCAAAGCCAATTCTCTCCAGACAGAGAGGACCTGGGGACCTCAGGGGCGCCTCCTCCACGCGTCCTGTGAGGGAGCTGCATGACCCTCCTCTTTCCATGGGGCAGGAGTTGACAAGGACAATGCGGACGCTTTCTGGAAGTCTCTCTGCTTCCTGTACGGTCCCCAGGTCACCATGAGCAGGCCACATATATGCATGGTGAATAGGTGGTATGGAAAGACAATCGAAGGAGGAGCAGAGAACGCAGGTATCCACACCTGAGCTCACACAGCCCCGAGGCCTGAGGCTGGGGCTGGTTCTACCAACCAGCGTCTGGGTGTCAGCTCCAGCCCCCACAATCTACACGGCCACAGCTATGCATATGTCCTAACAGCCAGCCATCCCTTCCCCTCAAGAGGAGCAAACTGGGGGAGGGGGAGCAGGATGCTTGCGTGTTTATGGTATAGGCTGTGATAGAATTTTCTGCAAGTGCTGCTCATAATCAATGGGAGCCCAGACAAGGTAGAGAGCTACACACCAAAACGTACATGGGAATCTCTTCTGTTGGTTCAGAAACTGTGGGAATTATGAAGGTGGTCAAACGGAACCCCCAAGCCCTAGCCCACAGAACCAAAGGTGGCCCCAGGGGGTTTTCAGAACTAACTAGTTCAAGGTTCTCAAAATGAGATGAACCTGGACTAAATGGCGGTGTCCAGAGGCAGGTGTCCTTGTAAGGGAAGTTTGGCTCGTGATGACTTGGGGGAGGAGTGAAGATGGGCTAGAGGCAGCTAGGAGGTGGCCACAAACTCAAGAACACCCAGAGCCACCAGTAGCTGCAAGCGACGAAAGGCAGCCTTTAGTGGAGCCCAAGATGCCAAGAATATAGTTTTAATTGTTTCAAGCCACAGAGTTTGTGGTCATTCTTAGCCTCTCCCCGGGAAATGTACAAATTTCTGGTATCCATAGAGATGTCAGATGGCTGTCCACCCCTTCTATAGGGCCTGAGCCACACCCTAGATTTCTTTTTCTTGGCTGAGTCTTCATTCATCTGATCCCCATCCAGAAAGCTTTGTCCTTCCCACTCCCAACTTCCCAGAAGCCTCTTGTCTCCAGAGAGACCTCCCCCTTCCCCCTGGGGTCCCCCTCAACACAAACCAGCGTGCCTTCATCCCCTGCCGGACATCAGGAGCACTTGGACCATGAGTCTCACACTTGTTTGGCACTTGGCATCTGCCAATGCTGTGCACGTGTGTTTATGATACTCAGAGAACAACGACTTGCAGAGTAGGTCTGCGGCTTTCCTACAAAGTCAAGTTCATGAGATGGAGCATCACAATCCTCACCATACAATCCGCAGGAGCCAACTGGCCACCCCTGCCATTCTCAGTGTAACTGGGCAAAGGTGGGCGGTGAGTCCCTCCTCCAGTTTTCCCTGCACCGCAGCTGGACAGGGCAAGGATTTTCTTTGTTGGTCCTCAAGGTACAGCACACAGCCTGAGGCCATGATCACAGGCTGAGCTTGGAATTCAGAAGCAGCTGGGGACACAGCTGGTGAGAGATGCACATCATTTGGGTCAAGAGGGAGAGTTCTGGTTGGCCCTGTTGTGTTCCATAGGAGCCAGCCCCAAAGGAGCTGTGGCCACCAGCTCTGCCCGTGCAGGATCCCACCGAGGCTACCATCGGAGCACGGTAACCACAGAAGAGAGAAATCCAAGAACCAGACTTGGTAGGAATGGAGATGGGGGCAGAGCTCGCGTAAACCAGGACCCGGCAGGCAGCCAGCAAGGGCCATCATTCCCACACGGCTTTCCCTCACACTCAGCGTTCCTCACCCCAATTCTTCACTTCCACAGTGCTCTTAGTTGTGCTCCATACTCCACAGAGTACTGAGCTGACCTGGATGCCCAGGGGTGGGCTGTCTCTTAGAGAAACTCTAAAGGAGCCAAGGAGGGGCGCAGGCACATTGTGTGTGAAAAGCAGAGGGAACACTGAAGGCAGAGTCTGTGACAGGAAAGGCCTAAGGACAAAGCAGCGCTGCATGACTGCCTCTGGCCTGCAGACCAGCACTGAGCCCGAGATTCCTCCTACCGGCTGCGTCACCAAACTCAGGCTGGGGTAACCCCACTGGGTGCAAATGAGTGAGAACCACAGAGCCCAGACAGAGAGCTGGTTTCCCTGTGTCTCCCCGGCCGTCGCCCCTGGATCCGGAGCCTTAACATCCCTCGGTGAAAACATCCTTTAACCACTACCACCAGCCATGCAACTGTGGTTCCAATTCTAAGTAACACAACATTCGCCAGTACTCTCCCCTACCGGAGGGGGTTGGGAGCATGAGAGCAGGGTGGGGAATAGGCAAAGCAGGTGCTATTTGCCTGCAGGGGGCACTGGAGGTACACAATGGACAGGGAGATGCCCTGCATCTGGTCCCTTAGGACCAGCAACCTCAGGTATCAGGCGGAGAGAGCCCGGGGCCAGCCACTGAGCCATCAGAAACCAATCCACCAGAAAAGGGTGGTAATTCTGTCACAGCTGGCCAGATGGGGCCTCTCAGATGGTCTTCGCTCTTCCCCGTCAACCCTCCACAAGTGAAGCCAAGGCTGGGCTCATTACTGCTGGGGAGAGGGGGAAGAGGAAGATGTGCAGAGGTCCAGAGAAGTTAAGTGATTCACCCTGGTGGCCCAGTGGTGGCCCAAAATAGCTCTTTTCCAAGAAGCAGCCACTGTGAGCTCAGGCTTCGTTTCTCTCTGGGCCTGGTGAAGACAAGTCCTTTACAGCTGCCCAGCGAGGCCATGGGCCCAGAGCCTCTCAGCCACCTGTCTGCCTGTGTGTGCCTCCCGCCACCACATCCATGCACAACAGACACGAACACCCTTCCCAGCGCTGGGGAGGCATGGAGAAGGTCAGGTGCCAACGGCTCTGGCCATGGCTTCCCAGAGCGGGGAGACGTCCATCCGTACAGCTAGGCGTGGCTTCCATGGCCAGTTTCCAGGGATGTGTTTGTAAATGGCCGGACCCTGGAGTCCCACCCCATGCCCTCCTCATGCAGCTGGTCCCTCCAGACCCAGCCGACCTCCTGGGCATCCTGAATCACAGCCTGGATGCCAGTGCCTGGGGCCTTCACCTGGATGCCCAGCTGGCCCCACCGCCGAAGAAAGTGTTACCTGCCATTTCCGATGAAGCTCGCCTGAGAGGCCCGCGTGGCTCTTGTCCCTTGAGCAGGGGAGGAAGGCAGCGGCCGCGGGGTCCCCAGGGCAGCTTGTGAAGTCTGCTGGCTCTCAGCTGAGTGTGGCTCTGCCAGAAACTTCCTTCGCACCTGTGAGGCAGAGAAACGCATGTGCAGCAGTCCACCCAAAGAGCGTGGGCCCGATCGGAGGAGTCCTGGGTGGGGTCTGGGCGGGACTTGACCTGGCTGGTGACCCCCGAGCACCTCCCAACACCACCCCACCCCATAACAGCAACTCCATACATTGGAAGTTGCAGCAGGGGCTAAATGAGAGATGTTTTCAAACATCTCTCCTTCTGCCCAGCCACAACTCACTGAAAGTTGGTTGCTCCAATTAAATACTGAACTAGACGGTCTTCACTCATTGCTAAACAGATGGCCCAGCAGAACTTTCTTCCATGATGGAAAGCATTCTATAATCTGGACTGACTCACTCATCAGCCACTAGCTTTTGTGGCCATTGAGCATTCAAAAACATAGTTAGTATCGCTAATAAATGGCGCTTTAAAGTCTATGTCATTGAAGTGAATTTACATAGCCACAAAGGGCAGTGGCCACAGTAGGCACTAAGTGTCTTGAGGTCATGGCAGACTTTCCCTTCTGGAGGGGTCCTTCTAGATCACCTGGTCTAACGGTCCCCCAAAACAAAGCCCAAAGGGAGGGAGTGACAGGGGAAAGAAGGGGAAATGTTAGTGCACCGCTGGTATTCATTCTCATGGAAACCTTGTCATCCCTATTGGCAAACGTCCTTTGTTCATGTACACCGTCCATCGGTAGAGCAGGACGTATGCATGAGTTAGGATGCAGGCTCACAATAGTTTACGGATAGAAATGTACAGCACAACCACTGGGCCCAGCACTGTGGGCCGGGTTGCACTTTGCAGGTGTGTGAGCGGTGACAGTGCCAGCTGCCTTGTGTCCTGCGCTCCTTAAATGACCTTTACCCTGCTGATGCGTGACCAAGCCCAGGACCTTCTCCACAGGAGCCTCCATGTACATGAACTCCAGCCCCACAGAGGGGATGAGAGCGAGAGGAGGAGAGGACAGGAGGCAACCTGAAGGTCCATTTTCCTCCAGATTTGCCTGCGCCGCTGCCAAGAGCTAGCCGCAGAACCTAATCGCCAGACTACTTGCAGAATTTTAAATGATCGCTGCAGCATGCGGCATTCTCCCGGGCACTGATTTTTCCTGGCAGCAATGATGAGGATGTGGGGGTTTTTAATTGTTGTTGTTCAGCTCTGCTGGTGTCCACGTTTGGGAGAAACTCTTCTCCCCAGCCTGGGACAGGCACGCTGGCCCCTCTCTCCGCAGGAGTGGGAGGGGGCAGGCAGGGAAAAGGGGCTGCCTTGGTTTTTAAAGCCAATTGTCTCTGCTTGTGGAGACTTCAGGTTCCTGAAAGAACTCTCCAAGCCAGGGTGGAAAGCCACAGGCTGCTGTTCCTCTAATCACACACTCCTGTGCCAGCCCGGACTCCTGCAGGGCCCTGGGAGAGAGCGATTTCAAAGTACAGAGACAAAGGGAGGAAGGGGGGGCTGAGGTGGGAATTGCTTCTCCTGCTTGCTGCAGGCCACCTTTGGCCCCACACCAGCGGGTGCGGGGCACTCGCTAGCCAGTGTGAAGAACAGCTCGGCTTGAACCCTGTGGACTCCACTCAATCAAAGTAATGAGGAGACTGTGGGGAAGAGTCGCGGCCTCTTCTTGCCGAGTACAGAGCTCATCAAGGTGGAGTTTGTACCCTGTTCCCTTGGGGAGAGAACCCACATGGGCCTGGGGTCATGTTTTCAAAGCAGTCCTCTGCCTAGCCATGGACATGATCTGTTCCTTGCTCTCCTGACTCCTCCCAGTACAGATTCTGCACTGTGGGCCCGTCAGCCGGCCTTCCCTGGGTCACACATCCACCCAGGCACGGGAGACACGCTTAGCCCTTCTCAAGAGGACCAGCACCACGGGGGAGACTCTAGGACCCTCCCCACCTGTGGCAGACCACTAGCCATTGACTGGGTTGGTATAACGGCTTTGTCCATTTGCCTCTGAGCAGGCCCAATTCACACTTCCCAGTGCCCGCGAGGCAGAGCTGGGCCCCAACTTCTCCTGTCCCTAGGCCTCTCTCTGGCCCTCTTTTCTTTCCCTGGCTTCCTCCTCGGGCTTCCTGTGAGCCCACTTTTTAAAGAGATGCCATTTGAAGGATCTGTCTCTGAAACCTGAGCTCCCAGCTCTGTGCTTCTTCTCCTCCATCCCTCGGGTCTTTATCCCCTGGGCCCAGCAGCCTGCAGACTTTGTTTCCAGGTCTCATGGATCCCCACCAGGAGCCCTCAAACTTGTCCTCCAGCAGCCCAGCAGAAATGTTTAGAGGCTGGGCACGCAAGGTCTAGCACTCGGGGACCTCAGCTCAGACTAGAGGCTCCAGGAAGCTCAGAATGAGGATTATGTCACGAGCCTTGGCCATGACTGAAATCTGTCGACCACCCTGCTACTCCAGCCCACCCTCAAGCTGGCTTGTCTCCCTCACTCTAAGCCTGGAAGATTCCTCTGTCCCCAAGCTCCTCTCGTATGCTCCCTCCACCCACAGCAGAGCAAAGCAAAGAGAAGCAGAGAGGACAGATGTGCAGCGGGGCCTTGGTACCTGCTGAGCTGGGTACAAAGCAGTACCTGGGACTGTGCCCAGCTGGACATGGGGGCCTTGGCCACGCGTGGTGGGGGCCGCATGCATCAAAGACCACACGAGCTCAGGGACACACGTCCGTCTTTATCTCGTCTAAGGGTCTGCTCTCACTGGATAAGTCAATTATATTGGAAGCCAAAACACAAGCCCAAGGGCAGAGATGAGCACCCACTTCTCAAGGAAAGCCGCCATTACTAAGACAACCCCCATGCCAGAGTGCCCTGCAGTGACCAACGTGTGCAGGCAGCCCTCCTCCCGCATTTCCCTCTCTCCTCCTCACGGACGCCCTCCTCTTGGGGCTCCACCATTCATGGTTACATCTGTCAGAAGCTTCCTGGAAGACGGTGTGTTCCATGCTCTGCACAGCGCAGCCCGCGGCCACCAATTAATCAGCAGAACCCAATCCCACGGTCCAGTGCTCGCGGGGTCTTGGCCGGCGCATTTCCCCACTACTCTGGATCTCCAGGCCTCTGGTCAACATCGGGGAGCCCTTAGGCATCCCAAAATGGATTTTCTGTGCTGTCCCATTACCGCTGGGAAAATGGATCCTGAGTTTTCTAATCTCTCCCCTTTAACTTGGGTAGTTTCCTTAATGAAAAAACAACCGTGTGGTATTTGAAGTTGGCAAAAACACCAAACATTGCGTGCAACAGACTGGAAGGCCCTGGAACAAAGTGCACGTCAGCATGATGAGCCAGAGCGCAGCGCATGCGCGGGGCGGGTCTGCGAGCATCTTCAGGCTTTGAAAGCAAGTCCCAGACAAATGGCTCACAGACCTCCTGCCACCTCCAACCAACACCCACATGCATGGGCATGAATGTTTGAAAATACAAAAGCAGGAGGCTGGGGGGGGGGGTGGCTCAGTGGCAGAGTGCCTGCCTTGCATGCATGAGGCCCTGGGTTCAATTCCTCAGCACCACATAAGCAGAAAAGCCAGAAGTGGCGCTGTGGCTCATGAGGTAGAGCGCTTGCCTTGAGCTGAAGAGCTGAGGGACAGCGCTCAGGCCCAGAGTTCAAGCCCCATGACCAACCAAAAAAAAAAAAAAATTACAAAAGCATGCCTCGCTTATCAGACTACTCAAACTCAAACAAATCAAAGTCATATCTGTGAAGCTATCTATATAACAAAAATAAAAACAAGTTCTCCTATTTTATAAATATACATTTATCCATGTAAGAAGGAAACATAAGAGGGTACCTTTATATATCATGACGGTGGAAGACAGAGAGGAAGGAAGGGTTTCATGGGCAAGACCAAAAAGGAACTACCGTGAGTACATCGAAGTACACTGGTTCTAGGCTTACCAATAGTTCTAGCTACTTGGGAAAGGTAGGAAGAAGTAGGAAGATTGCAGTCAGAGATCAGCTTGGGCAAAAATTTGAGATTCTGTCTGAAAAAATAAAAACACAGGGATTGAGGCTGTGAGTCAAGCGGTACTGAAAAACCAATTGATCAATCAATGAAACAAAAAAAATACATTTTCTACATGATGAAAGCACCCTAGGCAAGGGTGAAGTAGAAATCCTCTCTCCAATAGGACAGCAAGCAAAATATTTGGACTGGCCACCACAAAATTCTTCCCTACTCTGAAAACAACTCATCGTGCAGATTAAGTTATACAACTTAAAAAATGTGTTTAAATGTACTGATGTTCTAAGTAGAAGATAAGAAATAAAGGAAAGCCAGAAAATGAGAGAAAATGGAGACTGAAGGTATTTGCCAAACCAGGTGAGCTTGAGAATCTGTTTCCTTGCTCTGATAGGACAAGACTCAAAAGGCCAGCATGCACCCAGGTAAGAGTCCAGGGAGGAGGGCTGAGGACTCCGAGGGCCACCCCTGAGCAGGCTGAGAGATGGGGATGAAGGTCCTGCTGTCAATTCCATTGTGATAAGACAGACTTCTAGTTTATGACCATGAGACACACAACACTGAGACAAAGAACAATTGAAAGCCAAGAATTCCATCTTAACTGCTCTTGAGTAAGAACACAGCAAACAAAAACAAAAACACAACTATTTCCTGAAGAAAACCATTCTCAACCCAACCCTCAAAGTTCCAAAAGTATTAACTCACAGTTAAAAATTCTAACCGACACAAGAAAAGAAACCAGTTATCCTAAATGTTAACACACAAAACAGAGCAGACAGGCCAAGACTCTATATGTTAGCTTATGAAAGACAAAACATAAAGCATGTTTTTAAAAGCTTGGCAATAAGAATAAAGAGCAAGAGAATATAAAAACACTAGTTTCAGAGAACAAGATGAAGCATTTCAGAAATAAAATATAATTTCTAAGGGCTGGGAAGGTGGCTCAGTGGTAGAGTGCTTGCCTTGCATGCATGAGGCCCTGGGTTCGATTCCTCAGCACCACATAAGCAGAAAAATCCGGAAGTGGGGCTGAGGCTGAAGTGGTAAAGCGCTAGTCTA